GTAAATTTTCGCCATATTTATGATTGATTTCGCAGGGAATGACTGCACCATAAAATAACTTTAATGATTTTAGCTGGGTGAATTTACTACAGTTGTTGCTGTTGCCTCCAGCGTGATTTACTGTGCTTCATGGACTCGTGTCAAAAAATAACAAGTTTTGCGAGGATATATTTGTGTTGCATTATGGACTGAAGTAGGATATGCATGCATTGCTGTTAAATTGCAAAAGCCCCGTACACAGTCATTTTCGTCCAATGAATAATAATGCAGTTTGTAGGCTATTTGTTCACTGCATTTGGACTTTAAGAATGTAACTTAAAGTCCTGCTCCATACTGTGTGGACCTGAGGTCACTTGAAAGGATCTCCGAGGTAGCTTTGTAGTGTCCGCTTCTGTGGGCCGTTTTGTAATATATAGAGTTGCACTGCTGGGTGAAAAATCTTTTTGTTGTTTCCCCCCCCCACACACATACACATGCGATGTTGCACGGTTGGCTATACTACGTACGGTGCGAAAGAAGTTCAACATACATACGTGCATACATGATGCCCGTCACACATTCGTGATAAAATTGGGGGAAAATAGAATTAAAGGACGGAAAAAACTATACAGAAATCAGGGAAAGTGCTCGACCGCCCTCATTATTGACCTCCAATCACATTGCACATTCAAATAAGCCCATTCATGTACCCTTGAGCATTTGCATTTGGGACAATATGGATAAGAAGATAAGAAACCATAGGATTATGTAGCCTTTTAAATGATTCAAGTTAATAAACAACTGCTGTGGTCTGAATAGTTATGTTTACATGTGAGGAATTTGGTAATATAAGAGTGATAAATAATAACTTGAAATCCACTGCTTGATGAATGCCTCTTAATTGGTTGCTAATATTGTTAGCCATGGCCAAGAATTTAACTCGGGTCACCTCACGTACCGTATGCTGAACTCCTTTCAGAGGTGCGGGGGAAGGACAACAAACTAAACACAACAACAATCACAAATTCGTTTTCAACCTAGATTAAAAGTACATAGCTCCAGTGGCTTCCTAATATCGGAAGGAAGAACGTTCCAGACGGCCGCTGAAGCGCATCCGAAAGCACGTGATGCGCATCCGAAAGCACGTGATGCAGTGACCCGTGTTTGTTCGATGGCCAGCCAAAAGCCATTGCTGCTGCGAGGATAACTGGAGTTTCTCGTGACGGTTTATGTTTACTGGGATCATAGCGAAGTTTGGTACCCACTGCACGAACACACAACCCCCAGCGATTCTTACATAGTTGTAAACAAAAGCTAGGTCTTCACGCTGAGCTTACCCTGTCCAAGTACTGTACCGCCTGTATAAGCACTGCTACAGATATGTAAACACGTGTTCAATGCACAATTTTGCTTCGAGGATGGAAACGCAGTACTTTACCGCGGAACAAATGCTCTTCAGGCCGATTGTGTTCATTGCCACGGTGTTCACGCGAATGTGTTGTCACGGGAAGTACAGTGAAGTGTCATTGTGATGCGTATTCTTTTTTAACAGCTCGTTTCTTGCAAGCGTGAGCATTTCAGAGCGATAACAGAATTGTTTCAATGCTCGTATGCACATTTTAATTGCAAGAATGCAAGGCCGTAATTATAATATATTGAGGGGGGGATACATCCCCCCCCCCCCCCCAATATTCAAATATGCTGAAAATGTCCCCCCGCAATATATTGCTATAAAATAGATTTCTGTTTATGTGATTGTGGTTATGGTTGTACTTTATTAATCCCTAATCTCTGCCATTACATACAATTAAAACAAAAAAAGGTAAAAAATAGAAAACAGAGCAATGTCATACAATACACTATTAAGACATTGTTGCAAATAATTAATCAAAAGTCCATCCTATGTGTTGGTGAATTTTTGTTTATATTTTAGGCAGGAAATTATTTTTCAAATTTAGATTTTTTTTCTTGGGGGAGGGAGGGGCGGACCCCCAGACCCCCTGGAAGATTTGGTCCCCCCCAATGTTGACTCCATGGCTACAACCTTTCAAGAATGTACTTAATATGTCCAGAATACCTCCCATGCAGTTCTTTATAACCCTGTGTAATTGCCATAATTTGGACAATGGGCTGTTCATCAAGTGCTGCCTGTCAGTATATTTTACGGAAGCTGTCAAAAACTGATTTGGGAGATAAAGCAACACAGTCTGGAGATGTAATGGTTAAATGCGCTCATTCGCTATTCCATGCTTATAAGCGTGCGGTGGGTGGGGTGTTTTCACTGCAACTGGAAGGACAGCTTGCCGCCAAAAGTACCTTGGTAAACATCTGCAAGCGCAAAATTAGGACTAACTTTACGTGAAAAAAAAGAGCTAAAGTGCACGACGTGGTATGCGAGCGAGTGTGAGCGAATGCGTGGAAAGCGGACGTGAGGCAAGAAGGGAAATTGTGTAACCAGACCGTTAAGTTTGTACAATCCCACAGCGTGTGTGTGATATCGCCCTACTTTTTTTTTCTTATTTAGTTTTGATGATGCTGGCCAGAAACACAGAGAGCTGACCATGATTGTTATTTGACTACCTTCTTATAATTCCCTATATTTTTTGTTTACATATATAGACTGGCACAGCGATCGAGATACACTCTAAACTCAACAATGTTTTATTTGAGCAGGTAAGGCCCACTGAGGTTGATGGCTTTTTTTCAGAAGCGACCTGGCTATCACAAATGATAGCTCAACGAAGTGGCTTATCACGTGGAAAAGCATAGCATCTAAATACTCTTAATTAAATACATGTTTCTAAATGTGGAGGGAAACACAGGAGAACTCGGATAACAATCCACAGGACCACAGGGAAAACACGCTAACTACACATTTGCAGGTGTCCGTCCGGGTTGGGATCGAAACCACAACCTCCTGTATGCCAGACGAGATAGTTAACATCTCGCCACCGTGGCACTCTCAAACAGGACTGAGCCCTGAAACATGGGTGGAGGAATGAATTGGTGAATATTGTACTGTCAATGCAGTAACAAAACAGTTGGAAAGTGAGATGAGAAGGTAAATAATTGCATGGGCTTCTCTTGTTTTTATTATTATTACACGCTTTTATTTAACTCACTCTGTTGTATCCTCAAATCTTGTAACTCAATTTTAACCCACTTCCCAATGTGGTATCGGCTGCAAACTTGGTATGCTTATGTAATGCTGATAACAATACTATATTCTATCATAAAAAAATAAAAAGATATATTTTTAAACCATCTTTTTTTATATATTATGTTTCGGCTTGGGTCTAATTGTCCACGCTCAACTGACGTTGGCTGTAGATCACCACGGTTCGTTACGTTAGGGCAAACTTGGGGGCCACTTCCTGGAGTCGTGGAGTTCTGCCATTACTAGTACGGTACATTTAATTAAAGCGTGTTTAAAAAAAAAGTATTTTTAAATATTACTTTTTTATTTTGGAAGGTGTGCCTTTCTCTGCAACGTCATTTTCATCATGGGGTTTGTGTTCGTCAAATGTTCATTGAAAGTGAGAAGTGAATTCACAAAAATGGAACTGAAAGTTTTTTACATTGTTGAGATTATACAAATGTTACTGAGAAAACATTTTGACTTTGTTTACAGTAGTACTTGGAAATTTCAGTAAAGACTGAATGTTGGGTTGGATTGCAGTGTTATCCTTTGCATACTCTGTAAGGTAAATGTGTACTCTTGGATACTCTGTACATTCTGTTTTGTGAAAATAAGGTATTGTATTTCACAATGTGAACAAAAATGGTGTTCACTTCTGTTGGAATCTTTTTTTTGGTTTTTATCCAGGCTTTCTGGAATATTTACAATGGGTGGACCAAAGTGCACAAAGAAACGTGGAGCGTTCCACACTTGGAATTCCACTAAGCGACGGCAATAAAAACATGTATTTTGGGAACACACGCACGTTAAAGACTTCATTGTAACTGTCAAGAAAAGTATGTGGGCTTCAAGATAGGACACGTTGCTAAAAGGGATTATGGCCGGTCGTCTCGTCCAGAACAACAATGAAGTTGACACCCAAGGGCCCCAGTGTATTTTCACATTGGAGATGGAATTGGACAAATAGAATTTGCTCATGTGCAGGTGCTAGGTGAATTGTTGCATCACAGTATTTTTTTTTTATTATTTCACCAGGTAAGGCCCCACTGAGCTATATAGCTCTTTTGTTGGAAGCGACCTGGCCACAAATGATGGCTTAACGAAGTGTCCTATCATGTGGGAATTTATAGCAGCCAAATACTCTTAAACGCATTTTTCTAAATGTGGGGGGAAAGCTGGAGGATGCGGAGAACAATCCACGCGAATTGTGTGGGATGGCAATGGCTTGGTGAGTCGTTCATTCAGCAGTGAATTGATCATGGCTAATAATGACATTCCAGTTGCAAAGTCATATCCAGAGTTGATGTTCCATAGGCCGTCAAGATTGTTATCTTGCCATTCGAAATGAGACAGAATTGGACTTGCAATGCAACAGCGGCGTCTTCAGGTTGGCTTTGTGTGGCTAATGCAAATGAAATCTAACTAGTTTCGTATGTGGCCACACATGCACAGCATTTCGTTTGGGTTCTGTGCTTTGATATCCTTAAATAAACAGGGAATTGTGTGGTTGAAGCGTTCCTCTGTATGCGGAATTGTTTTTCATTAAGTCGCTGTCATTTTTGAGTCAGTCTTGTAATTGTAGGGCATTTGTTTTCAGGCATATAGCAAAACACGTGAGAATCCATTGCACGACCATGAGCCACTCAACATTGTGAATATCCGTGAGTCTCCAGGATAACTTTTGGGGTTTGACATGCGTGCGTTAGTGGTGCGGATTGTGTAAGTTGGGCGAGTGTGCTCGTGCAAAAGTAGGAGTTAGCAGCTTTTGTTCGGCTGGATATATGGCGCTGAATGGGCGTGGCATGGGTTAGGGAAGTGATGGACTGATGTGGTACAGAAGGATGTTGAGTTGATTGGACTTGCCGATGACTGGTACCAGCAGTGTAAACATCGGCCTCTGTGTGGAGGAGGTTCGTGGAGGACGCTGCTGGGGAGTTGAAGGCAGTTGCCCGCCAACAGGAACGGAGGGCAGAGGAGTGACGCTCTCACCAACGAGCGGCGCACACAGCAAGTTGGCACAGTGGTGAGCACAGTTCGATGCATCCGCCAGTCATGTCAGTCAAACCATTGCACCTTGGTCTGTGACCTCCTGCCAGCAGGCCTTCGACACTTCACGTGGCCTCAAAGTGCACCTCGCATGGGACAAGCACCTTGGGGACGTCACCGCCACTTAGTGGCGCACGGGCGGTTGTTGTTGGTAGTGGTGGGTGGGGACTGTAGGTAGGGGTTGGGGAGAACATTGACAAAGTCAATGAAAATTCCGCTCAGATCAATATAATATCGGTTTAAAATGGCTCCCTTGTTTAATCAAAGTGTACGTGTACTGTTTGTTAGAGCAGTGTTTCATGCACTGTGGTATCAACCTGGCAACTTGAGCTCTATATATATCCAGCCATGTCTAACATCAGTGGAGAGAGATGTTTGAACAGGCCCAGGCATCCCTCTTCACCAACTTGTATTGATGAGCTTGGTAAAGTACAGTCAAGCAACCCTTACTGGAGGGCTGTCATCCAGAAGTAGATTGACAACAGGCCGCAAACACTTGACTCGATATCAAAGGATAAATTGATTCGTCGAATAACATCGGTTCTTAAGTTCAAATGCATCAAACTGCGTGCGTAAGAATCTATGTTTTTCGCTTTGTATACGTTGTACATAATGGGGGTCAATGTCACGTCACCCCTACAGAGGCGCCGGGGCATTCACGACAATGTTTAGGATTTAAAAAAATCTTGAATCATGACACTTAATCACAACATCACATCAAATTGCCCCCGGGTGGTTCAGTTGTTCTACACCGTAATGTTGGCACATTCCTTTAACTTTCAGGGATACATTTAGGTAATTGACCTACTGTGGCTAGCTCATGAATACCTGGAGCGAGAATCTGATGAGTCGTTATGCTTTATTCGTAATGGGAAATGGTGGAAGCGCCAGTTCTTTTGGTGTATGGGTACATTTTTTGTTTTGTTTAAATGACATTTGAATGAGCCTTTTTCCTGTCCTCTCTTTTTAAACATTCATGCGCACACCGCAGTTTATATCCTCGCATGTGTATTCTTCAGATTCCAAATGCATCGTCAGGACAATGACGTCGATTACATGGGAGGACCCGTGGACCTCAGGCCACGGCACGGAGATCTGCAAGCAACCCCCATCGGCCCGGTGAGACCACTAATAATGATTTATTTTGCGCGTTAAATTTAAAGTTAAATTCGGAGCGCGGAGATCTGAAAGAACAATTGCGTCATCTTCCGTCTCACAATGTTCACCGCGAGCTTTGATTTTTTTTTAGCTTAGTCGAGGGTTCCATCAGGGCCCTGTGTAGTTATTTGCTACCAATCTCTTTTGCCTGCCCCCAGATGTTTGATGAGTTGATTCTTGTCTCATTCGTTTCTCAATTCTTCTGTCTAGTTTGTACAGTATTGTTTGCTCCATTGGCCTAAGTGTAATTTTAGCATGTAATTTCCATGTAATTTGCCATAAATCGAAAGTAATGGACTTTTCAATATTCCGAGGTGACAATTCGCATTTAATTCCTATTTGCCATGGTATTTTGTTTTCTAATTTTCTCGCACGAACATTACAATACAATTACAATGCAATTTGTGTTTATACGGCATCTAAATGTGACTGCATCTCAAGGCACTATACAGAAGCAGTGTGTATATTTATTGTCTGCAGAGAGAGCAGCGGTCAGGACTAGGCAGGGGGGATAAAGGGAAGGTCTTAATCCTCGACTTCATCAGTGCTTGGGAGTTGGAAATTAATGAAGGAATACTGTCGTGTGTTTTGCCTTACGGGTATGGTGACAAGTCTGACAGTGGCGTTTTTTTTGTATTAAAAACCCATCACCTTCACGAAAGGCCGAGGTTAGGAGGTCCCAGGGTACTAGACTTGGAGGAAAATCGTTAACCCTTGAAGGAAGTCTTGTCATCCCAGACAGGGAAGTCGAAAGCCCTGAGCAGGAGCTCTGGATACTGTGGTTGTACGTCGTGGAAACTGGTCCAGAGTTTTCTTGTTTTGAACCAATGTTATATGAAAGCGATAAAAAGGTTACTACAAAAAATGTTCACACTTCTGAGAATTTGCAACGGTACCAAAAGAAATGTGCTGCCTCCAGGCTCTGGGGACCACCTGGAGAAGATTCCAGGCCACGTGTTAACAATGATGGCGAACAAGTGAAGACTCTTTGACTTTTTGAAGCTATTAACATACATTTGTTTTCATGTTACAGTGTATTATCCGTTCTTTTCCTATTAAAAACAATAGTCCCATTTAAGGGTTCACATTTTTTTGAAGCACCCTGTTTATATCATCTGCTTGTTAATTTTGTTATATTCTGCACAGCAAGGCAAATGATTATGGTGTGTTAGCGTTGGATGGCTCAGGATCAGGAGGTTGGGATGCCCAATGAATGTTGTGGTCTCTAACAGTGTTCTTGGGTTTGGCAATATCCACGGTGGCGAGATGTTAATACCTTGCCTGGTATGAAGGAGGTCGTGGGTTCGATCCCGACCCTGACGCCTGTATATTAGGAGTTTGCACGTCTATCTCACCATGGTTGCGTGGATTTTTCTCCATGGTGCAATATCTCACATTAACGGGAACCATAGCAAGTTTTCTGATGGCCAGTGATTAAGACACTGGCCATCAAAGGGAGAAACATCACCGAAAGGATGCCCTCTGCAGGAGCTGGATGTATTGTTGCCAGACCATGAGTGATTATTTGGGGAGAGCCTTGTCCAACACTGGATAGATCATGGGTGTTGATGAATGCACCTGGTTAATGTGCGTCACCTAAACCGAGTGGCACACGGATCACTCTCGGCTTACGCGAGCTGTGATATTTTTTTATAGTGGCCTTTTACAGCATTATAAAGCGTGTGCTTTCTGCACAAGCGCAGTAACAAAGCGTACCTACTCTTTGGTTTTTTCGGTAAAGTCACGTAGAAATAAGACATAATAAAATAGCATAATACCTATTTACCATTGTCCAAACAGCTTTAAATCGTGTGTGCGAGAGGCTCTGTGCCATGATTATTCTAACGCTGCCATTAAGCGAGGACCTTGGGTATGTGCGCGCTGTTATGACGATTGCTGGCTCACCATAAAGGGCCCCCGTGTTTCACATCAGCAGTAGAGGGCCGCGTGGGTCGGGTGTGGGCCCTCCACACCTCTTGGCCCCCGGCGGGTTTGGCAGAGGCCTTTGTACTGGGGACAAGCTGGCAGATGGCAAAAGTGAGCGGGTCCCCCTCCTCTCCTTCTAGCTCGCTGGGAGCCCAATGGGCACACTCCCCTCAAGTGCTCATGTGAGCTGGAACTGTGTTGTGGCAGACTCGTGTGCCATTCCAGCCTTCATAGGTACTTGCGAACAGCACTTGCCCCAACAGTCTGTTAAGAATGTATGGGGGATCTTTGTCTTTGTGGCAGACTAAGCATAGGCATGGATGGCTCTATCAGATTAACAGTCTTTATTTACAAATCGTGAGTGTTAGGAAGCTACTTTGCTATGCATTATGGGTAATATCACAGATAATAGGAAGAAATAGGGCTGCGGTTAATTGTAGTTTTTTGCAGGCTCTACAGCTACCGCAGATAATATGGTAGTAGTGCCAGAGATTAGAGGCGTTCTCCATTATATCCCTTCGTACATGAGCTTCACGGTGGTAAGATGTTAACTACCTCGCCTGGTATATGGGATGCTGTGGGTTCGATCCCGAACCCTGATGCCTGTATGTTTGGAGTTTGCGTGTCTCTCTCCCCGTGGTCGTGTAGATTTTTCTGTGGGCCCTCTGGTTTTACCCTCCACATGTAGAAATGTGCGTTTAGATTATTTGGCTAGTATAAATTTCCACATGAAAAAGCCACTTTGTTGAGCGATCTTGTGTGGCCAGGTTGCTTCTGAAGCAAATATCTATATAGCTCAGTGGGCCTTACCAGATAAATAAAAAAATGTTTAGTTTAGTCAGTAGGAATGCCTAATTGTGAGTGACTCGGAATAGGTTTTACCCTTTTAACTGGCACAAAAACTGACACCTTTATTCAAGGCATCATGTTTGCAATGACCACAACACAAGCAGTCAAAATGCAAACAAAAAAGACAACTCTGATAATAATATGCACTGTCCTTGAATTTGATTGGTCCACACCCGAGACAGCTTTTCTTAGAGCCTAGTCTCCATTGGTGTTGGACCAGAAGAGTTGTTATTATCAGAGTTGTCTTTTTTGTTTGCATTTTGACTGCTTGTGTTGTGGTCATTGCAAACATGATGCCTTGAATAAAGGTGTCAGTTTTTGTGCCAGTTAAAAGGGTAAAACCTATTCCTATATCTTGTTTCTGGCAAAGGAGGTCTCATAATGTGAGTGACTCAGCTAGGAATGTCTAATCCGCACTGTATAGTAATCATGAGTCATCTCCCGAGGTATGTGCATAAAAAAACGTTTCCCCTTGTCCCCTGCCCTAGATTATATGCTTATTTATGTGTTAATCTGGGAGTCTCCACACATGTACAGTGAGGGAAAAAAGTATTTGATCCTCTGCTAATTTTGTACGTTTGCCCACTGATAAAGAAATGATCAGTCTATAATTTTAATGGTAGGTTTATTTGAACAGTAAGAGACAGAATAACAACAAAAAAATCCAGAAAAACGCATGTCAAAAATTTTATAAATTGATTTGCATGTTAATGAGGGAAATAAGTATTTGACCCCTCTGCAAAACATGACTTAGTACTTGGTGGCAAAACTCTTGTTGGCAATCACAGAGGTCAGACGTTTCTTGTAGTTGGCCACCAGGTTTGCACAAATCTCAGGAGGGATTTTGTCCCACTCCTCTTTGCAGATCTTCTCCAAGTCATGAATGTTTTGAGGCTGACGTTTGGCAACTCGAACCTTCAGCTCCCTCCACAGATTTTCTATGGGATTAAGGTCTGGAGACTGGCTAGGCCACTCCAAGACCTTAATGTGCTTCTTCTTGAGCCACTCCTTTGTTGCCTTGGCTGCGTGTTTTGGGCCATTGTCATGCTGGAATACCCATCCACGACCCATTTTCAATGCCCTGGCTGAGGGAAGGAGGTTCTCACCCAAGACTTGACGGTACATGGCCCCGTCCATCGTCCCTTTGATGCGGTGAAGTTGTCCTGCCCCTTAGCAGAAACACACCCCCAAAGCATAATGTTTCTACTTCCATGTTTGACGGTGGGGATGGTATTCTTGGGGTCATAAGCAGCATTCCTCCTCCTCCTCCAAAGAGTGTGCTCCTAATCTCAGCTCGTTACCTGTATAAAAGACACCTGGGAGCCAGAAATCTTTCTGATTGAGAGGGGGTCAAATACTTATTGCCCTCATCAAATTGCAAATCAATTTATAAAAAAATTTGACATGCGTTTTTCTGGATTTTGTTGTTGTTATTCTGTCTCTCACTGTTCATATACACCTACCATTAAAATTATAGACTGATCATTTCTTTGTCAGTGGGCAAACGTACAAAATCAGTTGGGGATCAAATACTTTTTTTGCCTCACTGTATGCTTGTGTGCACACTGCTTTCCGTGCGCGTGTGCGCAGACACACACACACAGTGCTCGCTACTCAATGTGAAATAAAGATTCGTCTCTTCCCAATGTACAATGAGGAAGGAAGACGTTCAAACTCGGACAAGTATTAAACTAAAAAAACATGTGACAATGGGGAAGGACTTGTTGCTTGGAAGAGGATGAGCTGGCTCTCCGAATTAACCATTTCTTTTAAACTTTAGCAAATATTCTTTTTTGCTGTAATTTGAGTGTGCGCGCACGCGTGTTAATTTAACTCGCATTGTTTCCAATTTTAATTAAACGGAACTAATGGCCATGCTTTTGTGGTAGGAGCAGTATGCTTGATGTGCCGCACGCTCAGACGTAATTACAAACCGGAGCGCAATCTCGCTAAAGGCAATGGGTTTTTTGAGATACTGTCAGACACCATGCCTTGTCCTTCCATACACAGTTAGTCAAAGTTGCAAACTTAACTTGTCAAACTTTCATAAGCTTACATTCTTAAGGCATCATTGCACTTCCTAGGCGGGGGGGGGTCTACATTATTCAACAGTGGCAGCATGTAAAGTGTGACTGTATGTGTCTTGTGTGTGTGTGCGGTAGTGTAGCAGTTAGCGCGGTGCGCTATGAACTATGAACCCGGCGACCCAGGTTCGATTCCCGCTCATGGCCAACACCAGTGACGATTATCTGAACCGGTCTTGGGCCTCCCCTAGGTCGAATCAGCCTCAAATGAGTACCTGGTGCGGTGTTGTAAACATCACCACTGGGGAGACAAAAGTGGTCGGGCGTGGTGCTGGCCACCCACCCCCTCGTGTACCGTTCCGGCCTTCATAGGTGCTCGCTAACAGAACTTGCCCCTACAGTATGTTAAGGCTATATGGGGGATCTTTGTCTTTGTGTGGGTGTGAATGCATGTGAAGAGCATCAGTTACGTTTAAAAGAAAGAGGGTTTATTTTTAGACTGGCAGCATATAAACACAAAACAATATTTCAACTGTAAATTCCTTAAATAATTTGAACTGCTTCACATTTCAAAGTCGTGTTGATGTGAAGATGAAACGTGTTTACACTGAATTGTAATTTATGAGAAAGAATGGAACTTTGTATTTGGGTGCCATACCACCATATCTTACATTTGAAAATTGCTCGTCATGAAAATAAAAATACAATCTCTTTGATATCTGCTGCTACCATATGGGTATTCTTTTTTAAGAGGCAATGATCCTGAATATGCTGTCAGCAAATTAACAGAAAACAACAATTTCTATTTATTTAGCATCTAAATGTAATCGCATCCCGAGCGTGATTGCAAATCCAGCAACAAATCAAGCGACGTTCAAATCAAATCGAGCGACATTGAATTTAATTGGTGACTAAATTGGAAGCTTGCATTAGGTTTCACTTATGAAATTACAAACACAGCAATTGATGCCAACGCGTGTGAAGTTCATCCCTCCGTGAAAGTTTAATTTGTCGTGGACAATGTTATTTCACGGGGTGTTTGCCGCGTGCCCGGCAGGAACGTGTAAAAAGGAAATACAAATTCGTCGTGAGCATACGACAATGTTCCACAAACGTTGCGGTGCCCTCCTAAGGCCCTCCCCGGCTGAATCTCGGAAACGTACCTAGGTATGAACCACTGGCGTGAACGAAACCATCAAAACGACTTCGCATCAGCTGCATTGTTCAATAAAGTAATGCAATAGTAGCCATCTTACTCTAGAGACTTGGGGCTACATTTACTTACTGCCACGGAATAAATGATCTCGGCCGTTGTGAATTACACCCAATCTTACAACCCAGTTTCTATTTGTTCCTGTCAGTGTGATTTTTGTTACATTGGCACTTTCGTTTTAAACCTCGTTACCGTCATCGTATAAATCCCAAGAGTGCCTTTCAGCATTGTTTCTCCGTCGTCCGAAAGGACATCCACCGTGAAGATGGAGTGATGAAATCGGTGGGTGGAAGCGCTCGATGATTTGCTGGAGTACAGGTCTGTGAGAGATGGTGATGGCGTGGGGAGGAGATATTCTGTATTATTTACCGTTTAACTATACCGCAACATTGTTATATATATGCAATGTGTTGTGTGCGTTTGGTTGGATGTCACATATAAGGAGAGAGCGGCGATGCAGCAGTTAGCGCACTGCAATACGAACCCGGTGACCTGTTTTTTTTTTATTCCTGGCCCACAACTATCAGGTTCAGAATCTTTACTTATACTGGAGGAATCTGATGGGCTGTAAAGCTCTTCTTCACACATGTCCAGATGAACTAACATGAGCGGCGTGCGATGTCCGAACCGGTTCGCCGCCGCCTCTTCACCAATGTGCACTGACCATTGTGATAAAGTAAAGTAGAGTCGAACAACCCCCCCCACGATCAACGTGTCCTGGAGAGGTCTCTCCATCCAAGAAGCGGATTGACAAAAAAGGGCTGTAAAACTTATTTTACTCGCAAATACATATGTGAATGGTGGCGTTTTTTTGTTGTTGTTGTTGTTGTCGACTGCGGCATGACACCGTCCTGCAGATAAAGCCTTGGGCGGAGTTGAAGTTGAGCACCAAGATAATCCTGTGCCTCTCATTGCTCGCGCTCCTCGGCATGCTCATCCTCACCATCGTCAGCATGGTCATGCACGTCGACGTTGAGAAGGACAAGAGCGAAGTGACCTTCAGCATCGTTCAATGCATAGGCATGGGTACGTCGTCACGCTCATTCTTCCGACGTTGCGTTCTTCCTTTCCACTATTCGGAAGCCACCGGAGCTACGATCTTTTTAAAATTGTCGAGATTGAAAACTTTTTTTAACTTTAAAAGTGCTTTTTGTGTTCAGTGTTGTTGTCCTTCCCGCGCATCTCCTATTGGCGCGTTTGGCTACGTACGGTGTGAAAGAAGTTCAACGTAAATACACACACTGTTGCCACCACTTTCAACGTTCACAGGCAAGACCTGATGATGTCGGCCTTTGGTCGAGGTGTCAGGATTCACACTCCCCACCACAATCCTGGCGATTCGATGAATTAGTTTCGTTCGCTTTGACAGCGTCCGTGATTTTTGGCCCGTGTGTCACAAGACTGAATAAAATAAAGTGGCCAGCTCATAATTTTCATCCACGCCTTTTACGCACCAGCGCTATACACGTGTATAGCGTTGGTGCGTAATTGTATTGATTCAGGGTGGCATTATCCATCCAAGAATCACATTATAATTAAGGTTTAGGTGAATGCAGCGGTCACTAGCAGCTGTGGGGGGTCACGTGACACAGTACTAAACATTGAATCCTACACATGTGATTTGACACATTTATCATGAGCTTAAGACTCAAGATTAATCGACGAATCGATCCATCGTCACACCGTTAGTGGTTACCCCCCCCCACCCCTCCCTCCCACCCACTCTTTGAAAATTAATTGCCTTCGCTCTGTGCTCACTGAATTTTACTCCTGTGCTGATTTTGTGCCGGGCGCAGTGTTCAGCATCTACTACGTGTGCCGCGGCATTCTGCAGGAGAACCTTCAGGAGATGTTCGTCTTCTCGCTCTCGATCGCGATGCTGCTGGCCCGCTCCATCGCAAACTTCGCCGTGATGTCCGAGAGGAATGGCTTCCTGATAGTGCGTTCAATGGCGCGGGGAAGTTGAAGTTTAATGGCAACGATAGCATTGACGGTTATTTAACCGCGGCAGCCGATTTGAAGGACTTTTATTTTTCAGGATGTGTCCTGGCATTGTGATGTTCGATCAATTTCATCCATGAGTGTTTGGCTTCTTACGTGTGAGGAAACTGGAGAACCCAGAGTAAACCCAACCCTCCGGGTAGTGGTTGACACTCAACACTGCCATCTGCTGGCCACACCTCGCGGTCCCTCTGAAGTCCTGGTGCTCCCCCATCCCTGGTGCTCCCCCATCCCTGGTGCTCTCCCGTCCCTGGTGCTCTCCCATCCCTGGTGCTGTCCCGTTCCTGGTGCTGTCCCATCCCTGGTGCTCTCCCGTCCCTGGTGCTCCCCCGTCCCTGGTGCTGTCCCGTCCCTGGTGCTGTCCCGTCCCGTCCCTGGTGCTCTCTCGTCCCTGGTGCTCTCCCGTTCCTGGTGCTCCCCCGTTCCTGGTGCTGTCCCGTCCCTGGTGCTCTCCCGTCCCTGGTGCTGTCCCGTCCCTGGTGCTCTCTCATCCCTGGTGCTGTCCCGTCCCTGGTGCTCTCCCATCCCTGGTGCTCTCCCATCCCTGGTGCCCGTTCCTGGTGCTCTCCCGTTCCTGGTGCTGTCCCATCCCTGGTGCTCTCCCGTCCCTGGTGCTCTCTCGTCCCTGGTGCTCTCCCGTCCCTGGTGCTCTCCCGTCCCTGGTGCTCTCCCGTCCCTGGTGCTCCTTCATCCCTGGCGCTCTCCCGTCCCTGTTGCTCCTTCATCCCTGGCGCTCTCCCGTCCCTGTTGCTGTCCCATCCCTGGTGCTCTCCCGTTCCTGGTGCTGTCCCATCCCTGGTGCTCTCCCGTCCCTGGTGCTCTCCCATCCCTGGTGCTGTCCCGTCCCTGGTGCTCTCCCATCCCTGGTGCTCTCCCATCCCTGGTGCCCGTTCCTGGTGCTCTCCCGTTCCTGGACCTCTCCCATTCCAAGTGTCAACCGGACTCAAACCTGCTTTAGGCTTCCAGGCTTTTTACACATTTTGGGTTAGCTGGTGACATGACGAGATCTTAAGATGCATGAGAACTCCAAAGAATCAACCCATCAATATATAACATTTGGAGTGACTACATCCAGTGATGTGTGGATGTGATGCTTCATTAAAGCTATGCCAAGGTTTTACACGTTTATAAGCAGGAAACCGTAAATGTCAAGTGTTTTTTTTAATCAATACCGAAAGACCTCTGTTCCTTAATTCACACTGACCTCGCGCTTAAGCTTTCGTCCACAATAATCGCACAGCAAAACAATTCCCTCACGGTATTGATCAGTTGAACTTTGACACTGATTACTCACGGAGACTCAATCACTTAAAACAATGATATTGCAAACTTAAGTTTTTTTTTCATTTGTTTGGATTACAATAGCGTTCGTGCAGTTTACACGGAAACACGATGTTACCTCGTGCGTTAACACACACCTCAATGATCGTCTTATATGGTATCGTGTTCTCTTACGGCATCGATTGCATGCGTGGCAGCTGGGAACATGAATGATCGTTGTTAACAAGTAGGAGAAACCAGTATATTTTGCCCAACAAGCGAGGCGTTTTGACTACAGCAAGGAGGAGATGGTTATTCATCATCATCACCATCGGTCTGAATGTCCCCACAATCATGATAGGGCTTAAGTAGGGAATGACGCGGTGGCTGGGTGTCTCGGAGGGCATTGCACTGTGCTGGTATGGCTGAGACCCTGGGATATGAATCCAGGCAAGCTGCCTCTGATTTAAAGCGGTTCTCAACTGTGGGAAGGTCTCATCCTGGTCACCCACCATTGGCTGCGCACACGTCAAACAAACAAAAAAAAACCCCATCGCATTAAACATTTAGTTTTCCACTGACTTTGGCTAAAATCCATCTCTGTGAGAATTAAAATATTGATTTGACTGCCACGCTACAATCTTTACTCTCATGTGACCGAGGTGGTGGGGAAAGTGCTGTCCCCCTAATTTGTGATCCAGGTCACTTCGTGGGATCTTAAGAGGTAGCGCTATGACATTTACTCTTTGCTGGCACGATGGGCCATTCTGTAACACGAGTAGGTTGCACTTGCCTGCAAGCTTTGAATGTATGCTTAAGTCTCACGATATAATGGCAATTGCATAATCCTGATAAAACGTAATCAAAAATACGTTTTTTTTACTTTGTTTGAAGCAAGAATTAACAATGTTCAGAGGGGAGGTCATTGGGATATAGGATGGACAGCCATGTACCATTGTAGACAGTAGCTGACGATGCTGATGATGATGGTGGTGAATATCTTAAGCTTGTGTAGACACTGATGAAGTTCGGGTAGGCGTACGCAGCAGACGAGTTGATCAGGCGGTGGAGTACCCGGACACACGGCCAACGAGCCTTCGTCTTGTCACCTTCGTTTGCCGCCCGTAGGCTCGGTTCTGCAGCGTCCTGTTAGTTAGCCTGTTACTCATCACGTGGGCCATCGTGGTGCTGTGCCGCTCGGGGTCCATGACGTTCCGCGTGAGCGGTCTCCTGGAGGAGGTGCAGAAGCAGTACGTCATCTTCAACATGTGCACGTCGCTCCTGACCTTCGACCTGCAGCTGCAGGTGAGCACGCCTCGGCGTCTTTTTTTTTAATCGACGCACCACCCCCGCTGTTTTCAAGCAGCTTAATTGGGCACGCCCGGAGGTGTGCAGCAAGTTACAATTAAAGTATGTTCATCATCATCATCGAACTACTAAAACTATAAACTTTTTTTTGCCAGGTAAGGCCCCCCCACTGAGCTATATGGCTTTTTTTCAGAAGCGACCTGGCCACAAATTAAAGCTCAGTGAAGTGGGCTTATCAAATGGCAATGATTCGCAGGCACAAACTCTGAACACACGTTGATTCTAAATGTGTAGGGAACAAGCGGAGGACCTGGAGAAAAATCCACACAGCCACAGGGGAGAGAGAGAGAGAGACATGCAAAGTCCAAATATACAGCAGGCATAAGGGTCGGGATCGAAACCACGACCTGTCTACCGGGCAAGGCAGTTAACATCTCGCCCCCGCAGCCACAGTCTATCCACCGTTAGATGAAGGCTTCCAGAAATGTCTCCATCTTGCGAAGCAACGGGTCCGTCTAGCTCCTGCACGTGTGCCGATTCCATCGCTCCATCTCCACTGGCGGGCGTACTCTCGAGCGCGCGCCCTCCTTTTGGGCTGCCACTCCGTCCTCCCGGTCGCCAGACATCTTCCCTTCCAGCAACGCGTTCTGCCCAAGCCCACTCTTCGATTTTGACTTAAAACTTTCGTGACTGCAGCAATTCATCACCTTCGTTCTTTCGGTAAAGTCACGTAGATAGAAAATAAAATAAAATAAAAAAAAATGCAAATAAAAATTTAAAATTAAAGCAAAACACCACGGCGTTTCGATCGTAACATAAAGCAACTTATTTAATCACAATATGGATGCTATATGTTTTTGATTGTTATAAAATTATTATATTTTGAATCATCTCTTGTTCTTAGTGCTTACAGAGGTTTATAATGTATGCATAGTCACTCACATTGCAACATGTATATGATTATTCACTCTTTTTCCATGCAGTATTATTTTTTAATTGATGTCATCGTGCTTGTGTTGTTGTCATCGCCGCCGCTGTTGTTGTTGTGTTTGCATAGTGGATGCTTTCCGTGCTGGTGCTGAGCTCGGGCATTTACACCATCGACCTCGTGGAAAAGATCCTCCTGTCTCTTGGCATTGTCTGGGCCTTCCTCAAAGTGATCGCCGGCTTTGTGTCTGTGAGTGCTTCCTTAAAAAAACACAAGCGTACGGCAGCCGTTGTTTACGTTTTTTTTTTAAATATAAAAACACAGAACCCTGACATCATTTGTAGCAATTGATTGTGAGATCCTCAATGGATTGATCAGAATCAGAATATTTGTTTATACTGGAGAAATCCGGTGAGCTATGAAGCTCTTTTTCACAGTTGTCCACTAAAGGGGGGCGGGTCACAACGTTACAAAAGCACAACAATACAAAAACATGTTAGGAGTGCAAAGTATAGGAAAGGTAAAACTATCATGAAAAATGACACGTATAACACTAAACAATGGTTTATCTTATCACGTAAAGCCCACCGATGCCCGGATAATCTTGCGTTTTATTAATACCGCTTTTGTTTTTTATTCCGTCTGTGTGCACAGATTCTGCGTGAAATCCCCTGGCTTTTGTTGACCTTCGTCGTAATGAATGTGCCCGAGTTGTGCTACGTTGGCTACCTGATTTACAAGGTGTGCTGGTACTCGCTGCACACATTGGCCCCCCTTGAACGTTGTCACACTCGAGCGTGATGGACTTCGACAGTGCGTTTTAAAGCCCCACGGCGGGTCAACGCGGGGCGGGTTTGTACGAGGCTTGGAGCCAGCCCCGAATTCCAACGCAAGCATCTTCACGCCCCTGTCGAGCCAATCGCCTTGCGCCTCACGTCTCACGCGAGGCCCATACATCGCCTCTTAAACGTTGTGCAATTCAGCAAACAAAATGCAGTGCAATGCTGGTTGCTCGACGGAGCGTGGCCGTGGTCATTTTGATCATCAGCTATACGCGGGGCTTTGTTGCTGTGACCGATGAGCACATAAACACGTCACCCAGTCACCGTCGCAAGACAAAGCCCTGCTTATTAAATGCTGACCAGCCGGTTTTCCTTGGAAGGGCCGTACTAACCAATTATCGCCCTAATATGTGGTCCCCAGAGTCAATTTGAAATTCCGTGTGCGCGCGGCACGCACCCGGCTTGTCCTGCGAATCCGCCCTGCTTTAACGCTCGCTGCGATCTCGCTGCGGCAGCTGACGCGCCTTTGGAAGTTGGAGGTGTCCTTTCCGTTGCTCATCGCCACCGTGGTCTGCTCCGCCGCGTCCGTCCTGCTCAAGTGTGCCCTGCTGTGGTACCTGCGCCGTGCGCACGCCAACTTTGGCCGGGGCCTGCGCGACAGAAGTGAGTTCGCCTCGGAGGGTGGTGACGGCCGTTGTCCTCGCTGCGAAGAAATCTTTCCGATGCCCCGAAGATGTGACAGTTACGCGAGGATAGGCGTCGTTCCTCATTGGACTAGAAATTACTTTGGGAAAAGCCTGGTTGGTGGCCCTAAACACAAGCCCCTGTTTAGGGAGGAAAGCCTAGCCAGAGGGCACAATCCCCAGACACGCTGGCCTTGTATGCATACGTGCCTTCTGTTTGTGACTGCCGATTTTGGTTCAATGAAAACGAAAAAAAATATTAATCACTTTGGAATCAGATGAAAACAAAATTGAGACTGAATGCATTTGAAAACTGCTGCAACCCGCAATGTGCATTTGGAATCTTTGTCGATTTAGTTCGTGGTGTTGTGCAAAATTGTTCATGCGTGTGAGTTCATTGCCCTGAGAGACAAATGTCACAACCACGTGATGGCAAGCAACGTTATGTCCTATCCTCGTACTTGTGTGTTTGTGAGTCACAAATGAATGCTAATTTATTTGTCACTGGCTCGCAAACTGCAAAATCGACTGCCGAGATCTTATATTCTTAGTTCTTTCGGTAAAGTCACGTTGAAGGGAAACAATAAAATAATAAAATATATAAAGCAATAAAAAATAATAAAAAATATTTTATTATTTTATTGTTTCCCTTCAACGTGACTTTACCGAAAGAACTAAGAATATGAATTACTGCAGTCACGAATGCAGAGATCTTGTTAAATAATTGCCTGCAGAGTAACCGTTAAGTCGTGCTGTGGCTGTGACATCCTGGTGAATTCGGTTTTAGTGGTTCGTCGCAGAGACTTAAAAGGGATGGTGGGGTGGGGGAGAAAAAATAATCCCAACTAAGTATCCTCGAAGGTGTAACAAAGTACAGTTCTCGTGTAGAATTAATAATAGAATAAATTCTAGGCCTCCACGCTATTCTTCTTTGACATTTTTGTGCAAGCGAGTGCAATTGGGAGTCGGTACTATGGTAGTACTGCCTCGCAAAAAAAAAATTCTGTACACAGTGTATAAACACGCTGGTCAAGTCCTGCTATTTGGATAAAGACCCACATCATCCATATGAAGTCCTTGTGTTTTATGCTGCCACTCTCTTACAGGTATCGGATTGGCTGTCACACTTGGCACTTGATGCTGTGAAAATATTCATATGTGCAATTTGTCCATTTTTCTGCTGAACTACTTTTCATGTTACAGCCGTTGTGAAATTGTTCTGTTTAAATGTCATTAAAGTTACGTATGGTAATTGATTTCCATTTAAAATACAATTTTCATTTGAACTATGCTAGATTTTATTTTTATCATAACCCCAGACATGTTAGGGTTTCAAAATAAGCATTGTCATTTTTTTATTCCAAAGTATTTTCTTTTTGTTTCTGATAAACGGCTACAACCCATTTAATGAAAACACTGCAACGTCTTGAAAACAGACTTTTAAAATTCGGCACAATTGTGTGTGTGTGTATGGATAGTAATGTTTGTGGATAGTAATGTTTTGTAAATGCCTACCCATTGTATTGTAAACGTAATCATTTACATTATAGATCTAAAGGTGTGTGCACGTGTATACAACATGCATTTTGGTCATTACAAAACAATGCATTGATCGTTTAAAATCTACAAAGGCGTTTTTATACCTTTAAGAACGCCCTTTCATGAAAGTTATCCTCATTTTCCTACAGGCGCTTGAGTTACAATTTGTGGCAAACGGGTTATGCTATATAAAAAAAATATATACATACCAACGGTTACCCAAGCACATGCCATGGTAGTTAACTCCACATTGTGCGTGCGTGTGCGTGGTTTTGTTTTGTAACCAGTCTGGAATAGACCGAGAGGTGATGACACGGCGGTCCTTGCTGCTGAGAGCCGCTACCTCTTCTCTTCTTGAACCACCGCCGCTGGCGGCCCGGTGGAGACATCGCGTCGACGCGCAGCTGTGTGGGCCTTCCAGCAAGTCGCATCGTTACACAGCAACGTTGTTGCTGTTTTTTTTTTAAATCACCACTCAAATCATGTTAACACTTTTAACTTGATCATTTTGTTTCCGGTAATTTTCGTTTTTTATTATACATGTGAAAAAATATATATTTGAAAATTCATTCGGAACTGTGTATTGCATTGACGATGTTTTTTTTTTTACCGCGCTGATGTTTTGCGTGCATCTGTGAAGTATTTTGTGGAGGATTCTGCCGCAGCAGGGTCCGTGGTTAGCAAGCTGGACTCGCAATCAAGAATATATCACCCGTTCAACTTTTAATATGTTACCAGGTAAGGCCCACTGAGCTATATGGCTCTTTTCCAGAAGCGACTTGCCCACAATTGATAGCTCAACGAAGTGTGGCTTATCACGTGCAAATTACGCATGGCTTCAAATGTGGAGGGAAAAACCGGAGGACCCGGAGAAAAATCCACGCGACCACGCAAACTCAAACTATACAGGCGTCTGGGGTCAGGATCGGACCCACGACCTCTTGCATACCAGGCGAGGGAGATAACATCTCGGCAGGCCGTGTGTGGCAGAGCAAAGCATGAGTACTGCCAGCTCTTCCAAGAGAGTAGGACTAAATACCCTCTTGTTGAGGGGACCAGCGGTGGCATGCGCAAGCAATTTCAGTGCAGCACCTTTAGCTTTGGCTGTACAAATGCCGCGACGAAAATGATCACCAGGCTGTGCGAGACGGTGGGCCGCCGGGGAAAACTCCACTGAGGGACTAAAACTACTGCTTGTCAAGCCTTTGTGGTTTTTTTTGTATGTCAAAGCCTTGCATTGCACGTTAATCACTGCACAGATGGCGGTGATGTGCTCGTGTCCTTTGTGCCTTCGTAAAAAAGTTTGTGTAATGAAATCTAAAAAAAAAATTAGCCATCTGTATTATTCCCTTTGTGCTGTGAAAGATACACTTTTTAAGAACAATAAAATCTCATTAACACATCTGAAGGTTGCGATTCGTGAAATAAAGCGTTCTTGTTAGGCCTGTTTTGAAATTAAGCAATGAAATTAAAATGTTTAAAAAAGTTGTGATTTAAATTATAGGTCCAAGCCTTTTATCATCCATGGTCATGGAAATTGACCATATTTCACCACGCTGGTCAGCATGGATTGTGAAGGAGGGTGCCTCGGGTCCAGTTCAGATATTGATCACCACTGATATGAGCTGTGGCTGGGAATCGAACCTCTGTAGGTTCATAACGCCGTGTTCTGCCCACTGCTCCTCCCCGTGTGTTTACAGTTGTGTTTATGTTCTCTCATGTTTCACCCCCCCCCCCCCGTACGAAATTATTCAGAACTTAACTTATGTAGGCTGGTGGGCTGGTGGTAATCATGCGATATTGCTAAAGCCAGAAATTTGGAAACATGTATTCTGCCCTACGACCAGATCACCATGGATGCGTCTGGTTCAAGAAGCCAAGTTGAGCCTGGCAAGTTTTTTTGGCGGGTGACCGGGTGAACATGTGTGAAAGAGCTTTATAGCTCATCGGATTCCTCCAGTATAAATATTGTGATTCTGACGACCGCCACTAACCAGGAGATGGCAGTGCTGAGTATATCCCTAATGCGGTGTGCTTTCTTGAGGTACCCCCCCCCCCCCATGCTCTTCAAATGCTTCACTGAAAGGGGGTGATGGCTGAGAGGGAAATAAACAATTATTGATGGAATGACAGCCAAAGGAGAGCACGTGAAATGCGCCATGGCTACAACGTTGAGAGTCATTCACCCCGGCAATGATTTGTCGATGATGAAATTAAGCAAATGTGCTCCCGACGGTATGGATTTGAATGGCGACTGGTAAATTATTGAAGTCGATCAATAGTGGTGGATTGCGACTCGTTAGGTCGTCTAACGCGAGTATGCGTCGCGTTCCGCCTGGTGTGTGTGCCCACAAGTGTGGAGGGAGCGGCGGTGTAGCAGTTAGCGCGCTGCGCTACAAACCCGGCCACCCGAGTTTCGTTCCCAGCTCACGGCCAACAACCCAGTGGTGACGATTATCTGAATCGGGTTCTGGGCTTTCCCCAGGTCGACTCAGCCTCAAATGAGTACCCGGTGCGGTGTGTCGTAAACATCGCCACTAGGGGAGACAAATGCGGCCGGGCGTGGTGCTGGCCACCCGCCCTCGTGCGCCGTGCCGGCCTTGATAGGCGCTGCTCGCTAACAACACTTGCCCCAACAGTCTGTTCAGGCTATACGGGGGGGGGGGGGGGGATCTCTGTCTTTGCTCGCAAGTGAAAGTAAGCCACAGCCCCAGTGCTCGTGCTAGGCGCACCAGTAGAGGGCACACTTCCTGCATCTTTGGCTTTGTGCTGCTGTTAACAATTTTCAACATTGTACGGTTTTAGTTTTTCTTCCTCCAAAACCTCCCCCCCCCCCCCCCACAAAGCACTTCGTTTAATCGGTGCAACGCGTGCACGTTGATTTAGACAAAACATCAGCGTGGACATTTCGGTCGCTATAATTGGGACGGGTGAGTGGCATGCGAAGAAGGTGAGACGTCAATTCGTCTGACGTCAATCGTTTGCTCGCCGGGAAACGCTTCCATTCGAGACCAGTTACTTTCACCGCTGGGGAAATGCTGCCAACGCATTGGCAGTAAGACTTCGAGAGGCACTTCCCGTTCGGTAGCAAACCGCCCACGCATCGAGCGTGTCCCATGGTTTGATTTGTGTTCTTCCATTGAAGGTGTTTCTCTACACGGTTGTAACGTGCACTGGGGGCTGCACCACACAGAGCCATCCAAAAAAACTAAAATTGGCCACGGGCTGTCGCAGACAAGTCCCCTTATATGAGGGGCCGTCCATAAATGACGTCACGCACCTGGGGAGGGGGGGGTGGGTCAGACATTTGTGACGATGTGTGACGGTTTGAGAAATGGGACGTCACATCAAAATGCGCAACTTTAAATAAATATAGACAACACGTTATGCTTAATTAAATAGACTTTTAAATAAATGTTTTATCCTATAACATCAGAGGACACAGCGCCACATTAAATACGCACTACAATGACAATAGTTTAAAGCGATTTGAAGCATTTTTTTTTGGGGGGGGGGGGGGGCAGAGCTTTGTGACGTCATATTTGAGGGGGTGGGGGTCTGACTTTTTGTGACGCCGTGTGACGAGCGGGGGTGTCAAAAATAGTACAAAATCGCGTGACGTCATTTATGGACGGTCCCAAAGACACGTGCGAGAAGATCCGACACCGCGCCCGTTCAGTGCTCGCCGAGCTGCATTGGCTGCCCGTTGCCGTACGGACGCGTGCACGCCACGCCGCCGGCGCTCGTTGCACCAACCACGCAGCGTTGGTGGTGCACGGTGCTTTTTTTCAGGAATATTTTGCTGTTTTTTTGTTTTACCCCCATGGATTTTCTGTTTGCACAGTCACGCAGAGCCGCTTTAAGATGTTTTTCTTGTTCGTGTTTTTTTTGTGTTTTTGTTTGTTGCGATTGCACCCGATTCAAGAGCCGAATGGCTCACAGGGCTATACTAAAATAAATGAAACTGAAACTGAAAACCACGCGCACGCGAAGCTTCGCTCGCCACAAACGAACACACAATGACCTCGCATGGATCCAGACAAATGAGCATTAAACGCTTTCAGATATGCGCGCGCTTCTGCGGCCGTCTGGAACGCTCTTCCGATATTCGGAAGGCACCGGGAGCTGTATGCACCATTTAAATCAGCTAGATTGAAAAGTAATTTTTTGTTGTAGAACTGTTTTGTTTGTGTTGAGCCTGTTATCCTTCCCACCGCACCTCCGATGAGCATGATTGGCCTACGTACGGTGCGAAAGAAGTTCAACATACGGTACATACATGGGGAGGTCGGCTGGGGGGGGGAGGGGGGATCTGAAAGCGGATCCGACACCCGTTTCTAATGAGCTCACAATGCAGTCACGGCCGCACACTTCACAACAACAAGGGCCTCTCCCCCTCCACTACCTTGGCGGGCTGCAAACGCTGGCTGGGCAGAATCTCGCCGGTTTCAGTCGATAATCGAGGGGGCTGGGGGGGGGGGGGGTGGAAAGGATGTACCGTGGGACTTCAACGCACGCGTGCGCGCCTTGTTCAGACGGGGGCAAAAGACAAAGATCGCCCGTATAGCCTCGGAGGAGACTGCTTTGGGGACAAGTGCTGTTAGCGAACGTCGATTAAAGCCGTCGCGGCGCACGAGGGGGGTGGGGGTTTCGATCCCCGACCGCATTCGTCTCCCGAGCGGCGATGTTTGCTGCATACCCCAGCCAGGTATGCATTTGAGGCCGAGTTGGTCTCGCGGTAGTGGCCCAGGACTGGTGCTCGGATGGATGATCGTCACTGGTGTTGGCCGTGAGTGGGGAATCTTAACTCGGATCTCGGTGCAAGGCTAACCACTGCGCCACCGCTCCCCTACTGACGAGCGGCAAAGACGAAGATCCACCGTGTAGCCTTAACTGCTGAGACAAGTGCCGTTGGGGAGCATCGATGAAGGCCGGTACGGCGCACGAGTGGATGGTTAGCCCCACGCCCGGCCGCCTTTGTCTCCCGAGCGGCGATGTTTACACACCGCACCAGGTACACATTTGAGGTTAAGTCGACCTAGTGGAGGCCCAGGAACGGTTCGAATAATCGTCACGGGTGTTGGTGGCCGTGAGCGGGAATCTAACTCGGGTAGCCGGGTTCGTAGCGCAGCGCGCTAACCGCGACACTGCCGATCGCCAGTCGAGCGGCAACCCACACAGCTCACCACCCACACAGCTCACCACCCACACAACTCACCACCCAGACAGCTCACCACCCACACAGCTCACCACCCACACAGCTCACCACCCACACAGCTCACCACCCACACAGCTCACCACCCACACAGCTCACCACCCACACAGCTCACCACCCACACAACTCACCACCCACACAGCTCACCACCCACACAGCTCACCACCCACACAGCTCACCACCCACACAGCTCACCACCCACACAGCTCACCACCCACACAACTCACCACCCACACAGCTCACCACCCACAGCTCACCACCCACACAACTCACCACCCACACAGCTCACCACCCACACAGCTCACCACCCACACAACTCACCACCCACACAGCTCACCACCCACACAGCTCACCACCCACACAGCTCACCACCCACACAGCTCACCACCCACACAGCTCACCACCCACACAGCTCACCACCCACACAGCTCACCACCCACACAGCTCATCACCCACACAACTCACCACCCACACAGCTCACCACCCACACAGCTCACCACCCACACAGCTCACCACCCACACAGCTCACCACCCACACAAATCACCACCCACACAACTCACCACCCACACAGCTCACCACCCACACAAATCACCACCCACACAGTTCACCACCCACACAGCTCACCACCCACACAAATCACCACCCACACAGCTCACCACCCACACAGCTCACCACCCACACAACTCACCACCCACACAACTCACCACCCACACGGCTCACCACCCACACAAATCACCACCCACACAACTCACCACCCACACAACTCACCACCCACACAGCTCACCACCCACAGAACTCACCACCCACACAGCTCACCACCCACACAGCTCACCACCCACACAGCTCACCACCCACACAGCTCACCACCCACACAGCTCACCACCCACACAGCTCACCACCCACACAAATCACCACCCACACAACTCACCACCCACACAGCTCACCACCCACACAAATCACCACCCACACAGCTCACCACCCACACAGCTCACCACCCACACAGCTCACCACCCACACAACTCACCACCCACACAGCTCACCACCCACACAAATCACCACCCACACAGCTCACCACCCACACAACTCACCACCCACACAACTCACCACCCACACGGCTCACCACCCACACGGCTCACCACCCACACAACTCACCACCCACACAGCTCACCACGCACACAACTCACCACCC